GAGGGAGAAGCAGGCTCCCTGCTGAGCAAGGAACCTGATGCAGGACTCATCCCAGGACCCCAGGATCATGACCTGAGCTGAAGTCAGTTGCTGAACTGACTGAGCCACCCAGGCGCCCCAAGAGTTAACTTTTTGTTGGTCCCAGCCCCTTTGAGAATTTGACGAGACCTTCCTCCAACCCCTCCCCCGCAAGGAGATGTGCTCACATTCCCACCCACGTTTGCATTTGCCCTGGGTTGGGAGGTGCTGTCTCAGGGATAGAGCCCCAACATCCTTGACGTTTAGGAAATGTTGGCAGGATTGATTGGCCTCCCCAACAGTTAACAACTGGCCCAACCCTGGAAAAACTTCCCTGGAACCTCTCTGCAGCAGGTGAAACCCTCTGAGGAGGCCTCCAGGGCGTTGGCATCTTGTCTCCTTTTTCTCCCCCCGAGTCTCTCCTCTCAGCCAGGACCTCTGTCTCTCCCCACACCCCTTTTCCTGCCCTTCTTTCTCTGCCTCCCCGTCTGTGGCAGGCACAGGAATGGGCCCTGAAGAGCTCCATGCCCTAATCCCTGGAACCAATGAACATGTTAAGTGACATGGCAAAAGGGGGAATTCAGGTTGCGAATGAAATAAAGGTGACTAATCACCTGACCTTAGAGTAAGGAGATGATTGCATTATCCTGGTTCTTCAGGTGGGCACAAGGTAATTGCAAGGGTCCTTAAACATGGAAGAGGCTGGTGGCAGTCAGAGAAAGTGGCCAGAGTGGTGTGATTCGAGAAGGGCCTAACCTAAGGTGGCTGACTTTGCAGAGCAAAGGGGGGAGGGAGCCAGCATGTGCGGGTGACCTCTAGAAGCTGGAAAAGACTAGGAATAGATTGACCCCTGAGCCTCTGGAAGGGAACACAGCCCTGCTGACACCCTGATCTTAGCCCCGGGAAACCTGTGTCTGACGTCCAGGCTGCAGAGCTGTAGGACAATACCCTGCCCTGTTCCAAGCCATTTGTTACAGCAGCAAACAGAACTCAGCAGGATCGCTGTCTGTTCTGTTTCATTTCACATCTGGTTTGGTTTTGCTTCTCCGCCACCAGTGTGTGAGTTCCATGAGGTCAGGGACTCTGTGAGTTGCTGCCGTGAGCCCAAAGCCTGGAGCACAGGATGTCTGATAAGGGGAAGATGGAAGCAGAGCCAACCAGCCTTGAAAACTCAATCCCAGGGGCGCCTGGGTGGCTCGGTCGTTAAGCGTCTGCCTTCGGCTCAGGTCATGGTCCCAGGACCCTGGGATCGAGCCCCGCATCGGGCTCCCTGCTCGGCGGGGAGTCTGCTTCTCCCTCGGCCTCTGCCTCCCACTCGTGCTCTCTCTCTCTCTCAAAATAAATAAAATCTATATATTAAAAAAGGCCACCTAATCTGTTTTAATATGAAATGTTCAGAATAGGCAAATCCATAGACACACAAAGTAGATTAGTGATTGCCAGGGACTGCAGTGAGGGGGGATAGAGAGAGACTGCTAATGGGTAGGGATTTCTTCTGGGGGTGATGAAAATGTTCTAAATTAGATAATGGCTCTGCTGCCCAATTTATGAACATAGTAAAAAAAACTCTGCACCTTACACTTTAAAAAGGTGCATTTTATGCTATGTGAGTTATATCTTAATTTAAAAATGTTTCTCATAGACTTAACTACAGAGAACACACTTGTGGTCACCAGATGTGGTGCGGACAGGTGATGCGGAGGAAGGAGGGCACCTGTGGTGATGAGCTCCCGGGGAATGTATGGAAGTGCTGGATCACTATACTGTGCACTTGAAACTACCGGAACGCTTACGTAAGTTTTTTTTTGTTTTTTTAAAGATTTTATCCATTTATTTGACAGAGAGAGACACAGCGAGAGCAGGAACACAAGCAGGGGGAGTGGGAGAGGGAGAAGCAGGCTTCCCGCGGAGCAGGGAGCCCGATGCGGGGCTCGATCCCAGGGCCCCGGGACCACGACCTGAGCCGAAGGCAGACGCCTGACGACTGAGCCGCCCAGGCGCCCCAACACTCGTGTACGTTAACAGGAATGAAAACAGTTTTAAAAATGCAGCAGATAACAAAGACAATTTGCAAAAAAACCCAAAAACTTTTAAAAAAGATTTTACTTGAGAGAGGGCACACACGTGAGGGGAGGACACGCAGGCCCGGCGCTGAGCACGGAGCCCCACGGGCGGTTCCATCCCATGACCCCGAGATCAGGACCTGAGCCAAAGCCAAGAGTCAGAGGCTCAACCCACTGAGCCCCCCAGGCGCCCCCCAAGTCAACATTTCTCCCCGCTTCTGTCCCTAGAGGCCCAGAGAAGAGGACCGCGGACGCGCGGCCCCCACCGCCCTCCCCTCCCGGCGCTTCAGAGAGAGCCTAAGGCGCCCCGCACCAAGGCGCAGCCCCGCACCGCGGCGCAGGCTGCATTCTTGGTCGGAAGGCGCCCCGCGGCTCGCCCCGCCTACGCCGGAGGACTCCTCCCACTGGTCCGGCCTGCTCCACCTCCCTCGAGCCCGGGCACGTGCCTGGCGGCCACAGCCGGGAACGCCAGTGCGCGCTTGCGCCGAGACGCGAGCGCGCCCAGGGAGCCTGCGGGCCGGTGCGCGCCCGGAAGTGGCCGCGCCGCCGGCGCTTCCGGCCTCTGCCGAGCCGGCCGTGGGGGGAGGGCCCTGGGCCGCGAGCTGCGCGCCGAGCCCGGGCGGTAAAACCTGGGGCGTGCCGCGCCAGAGGCGGGGGTCGGGGCCCGCGGAGTAGGTGTCCTGGGCCGTGCGGTCTGTCACGACGGCCCGCCTTGGCTCGGTGCAGGAAGGCGGCCGCAGACCTCGGGATCCCACGTGGTCTTCACACGTCGGGAAGCCTCCTCTCATCTCTTCGGTCGCGTAAAATGCAAAATGCGTGCGTCGCCCCCCGGCACCTGGGCCCACGGCCGGGGCGGGGCCGGGGCCCCGTCTGCACCGCCCTCCCCTCCAGCCGCCCGGAGGGGGAAGGACTAGAGCCTTAGCCCAGCTCCTCTAGGCACGCCGTCTCGGCCTCCCGTTCCATTTTATTTCAGTGGATTTTTTTTTTAAATAACCTAATTCTTCTGAGATTTATTATTTTTAATTGCGGTAAGTGGACAACCTAATTCTTTTGGATTTAAGGCATGCCTTTTTGCAGCTGTCAGTTTCTGCCGATCACGTCTGCACTGAGGCTGCATCTTGAAGACACATGCTGGTCCCCGTCACCTGCTCTGAGCCTGGGGACAGACTTCTCTCCTCCAGCTGCGTCTTCGCTAAAGCATCGGCTCGAGGGCCCGCACCAGGGACCACTGACACGTTATGCTTGGTGTTTGTGGGTCTGAAGAGTGAGGCCACTGTTCATTGGAAATACGTGACTCATACGTAATTTAAAATTCGCTAGTAGCCACATTTACAAAAGTAAAAATAAACAAGTTTAATTTTAATGTTTTATTTAACTCAATACATCCAAAATGCAATTTCAACATGTAAGGAATATAAAATAAGAATATAAAATTAAAAAATGCATTTTGGGGGGTACTAAGTCTTTGAAACCTGGTGTATATTTTACACTTACAGCGCGTCTTGCTTTAGACTAGCCACATTTCAAGCACTCAGTAGGCAGGTGTGGCTAGTGGCCACCATATTGGACACATCGCAGACTTAGGTGAAATGAAACAGGGATTGTGGAGAAAAAAATGTGTGTGATTCCATGAGGGGAGAGATGGCTCCTCAGCTCAGTCCTGGGAAATGGGCCGAGTTAGGGTTTTTAAGAGGGCAGCTGCAGGACATGGCCCTGCCAGCCAAGTGACACACCCGCCCAGGCCCCCCATGGCAACCCCCCCATACACTTAACTATTGCACTCTTTCTGGCCGAATTAGAGGTGAACGGAATGAGGTAATTCCTCATTTATTGGTCAGTGTGTGAAGTCACCTGCACCTCAATTAGTGTGTTGTTGATGCTGAACTGGGTTTTCTGATGGAGGGTGGGGCACTGCATATGTTTTAGAACAGGAGTTAGCCATCGGGACCTGAAGTTGTTGGTGGGGCCCGTCCCCTGACCTCTCATGATGGGGAGAGGAATTTGAGGGAGAAAGACAGCCCAAGGGAAAGTAGCAAAAAATGTTGACCCACAGCTCAAAACAGAAGGGACTTTACTTAAAAAATTAAAAAAAAAAAATCTCTACACCCAATGTGTGGGTCAAACCCACAACCCCGAGATTAAGAGTCCAGTGTTCCACTGACTGAACCAGCCAGGCACCCCAACAGGTGGGACTTTAGTTTTAGGGGAAGCAGGAGTTTCGTCTACATGATGAACTTTATTGATGCTTCATTTGGAGGCTAAGGACAGGCCTTTTTCCTTTTGATTCCTCCATTCTTCCTGCTGCCACGTGCACACATGCACTGTGAGCCTTGCTCCCAGGAAAGCCTTCAAAGTCTCCTCAGAGCCTTTGGGGCTCCAACCTGGGCTGCTGCTCTGGCAAAGTAGGACTAAGATTAGGTAAAATTAGAAACATCTGAGCTGGTGGGGCTGTGTTGCCCCCACCCTTTCCCCCTCATTGACTGGTTTTATCAGAGGCTGTGAGGGAAGAGGGGTGTCTAGAGTACCCCTGTCCTCAAAATCAAACCTTCGTTTTGCCCGGTTGACTCTTCTCCAGCCCAGCCACACCTGCGTCTGTGGGGACAGGCTGGCCGGCCACAGGGAGCAGCATTTCCGTGCCTCTGCCCACCTGTGCCATTTGGTCAAGCCCTCCAGTCCCACAGCTCCCCCGACGGAGCTGCCCAGTGCTCAGGGCGTGAAGCTGGGGTGGGCACACACAGCACAGACTGACATCCACCACCAGGCGCTCTCCAAGGACAGGGATCACACGGGGTGACCTGAGAGGAAAAACACTGCGGTCCAGACGCGGAGCTCAGGCCCACATAAAGTCAGGGCAGAGGTGTGTGGCTCTGTGCCAGGAAAAAGCAGTTTCACAGACAGGGAAGCCCAAAACTGCAGATCAGAAAGACAGAGCTAGACTGGCTCTGGTCCCGTTTATTACAAAATAATGATTCCAAATCTGGTATAAAAAAGACCCCAGACAGTCCCCAGTACACCTGCCATGCCCCCAACCCACAAAGTCGCTCCCTCAGGCACCTGAGCATGCGGGGTTCTCAGATGCGAAGGTCCCCAGCCAGGAGGGCACTGTACCGGGCAGGTGTGAGGGGCAGGTAGGCACCCCCAGCCTGGTCCAGAACATAGAGGGGGTCAGGCAGTGTGCTTGGGTCAAAGCCCTCCTTTGTCATCCGCACCTTCTGTTGCTTGAAGGTCTCCGTGGTGGCCAGAGACTCCTGAGGAGGGGCATCAAAAGGAGTTGAAGGAAGGCATATTCTGCCCAGTGGTTCAGGTGAGTCACCTGAATTTTGTCAAGGGGCAGGGAAAAGGAGATATGAGGTCAGAGTTTAGGGGACGGGGTGACAAGGAAGAGGAGACAAGCCTGGAGGAGGGCAGAGGGAATGAAGGGGGGCAAAGGAGTGCATGTCTGGGAAGGAGCTGTTCTTTCTCTTCACGGAGAGTATCACGTGAGGATCCCTGTGTGGGGGTTTGGGCGCCACCAGCTGCTGCAGATACCGGGGGGTGAGGGGTGGAGCAGGAGCAGCTGATTACCTGGAGCCTTAGGAATCGAGGCCAGGCATACGGTGGCAAGTTCTCAGAAACATGGGCGTAGAGCTGCACAAGGTCCAGTGAGTGGGGGGGACGTAGAACCAGGGCCGCCATTCCAGCTCTGCCTTCGTGCCCTGGTGGTCAGTGGGGAAAGGTCAGCTGTGGACCACCCTCCGGCTTCATGTTCCCTGGGCCCAAGTGATACCAGGTCAGGGCAGTGGGCCAGCTGCCTCCCACCTCCCGTGTCTTGGCACCTGGCACGGTGACTCCGTAGACGTTCACCTCCTGAAGAAAATCCAGGGACTCCAAGGCTTCTGCCACCTCAGTGGTGGCCACGTTCTCCCCTTTCCACCTGCAAGAGGGCAGAGATCCTGGGCCTTAGAAGGTGGGTGGGGGGAGGACACAGGGTGCCAGATGCTCAGAGGGAAGAAGTGTTCCAGAGGTCTGTCTGACAGCAGAGGTTGGATGAGGGGCTGGGTTTGGGTGCGTTTGGGTGTGAGTTAGGGAGATAGGTTTAGGGGCTTTGGGTCACAGAGACTGGATGTCTGGGAAAGGACTCAAAGTCATGGGCAGATACCTGAAGGTGTCTCCAGTACGGTCGTGGAAGCGGAGAAAACCCTGGTCATCGCACACCAGCAGGTCCCCAGTGTTGAAGAAAACATCCCCAGGCCGGAACACATCCTTTAGCAGCTTTCCCCGGCCCAGCTCTGGCCCCCCAGCGTAGCCCAGGAATGGGGACTGCTGGCTTACTGGGGCCACCAGCAGCCCTGGCTCACCTGGCAGAGTCACTGGGGTCAGGGGTGATTGCCCACCTCACCCAGAGCCTCCTGCCCCTCACCCCACTGTCTAATCCCAACCCTCCTTTGCCAGCTGCACCACCCCCACCCACCCCACCTGAGCACGAACCTGGACATGTGGCCACACAGTGCCCCTGAGTGTCCCGAATCGGCTCCCCTGTGGTGACATCATAGCGAATCAAAGAGAAGGGGAAGACATGCTGGGGGAAGGGAGACCCAGGCACTGGGTCATTTCAGTTGCACAAGCCCCCTCCCTGCCGGCCCCCACCTTCCATGGGATCTCCAGTTTCTTTCCCACCCTTCCCTCACCTTGTAAAGCCAGGACGCACGTCCCACAGCACCCAGCTGTCCTGTGTAGTTGAAAGTGGCAACGTTGCCCTCTGTTAGTCCGTAGGTCTCCAGCACCTGCAGGGGCCCAAAGCGCCGCACAAAACGCTCCCAGGTGTCTGGGCGCAGCCCACTGCCCACCGCCAGCCGGACCTTATGTCCATGTTCTGCCTTGCTCTGAGATGAGGAGAGATGGGCAGAAGGTTCAGCACCAAGACGCCAGCTCCCAAAAGCGAAGTCCTGTTTCCCACTCCCCTGGAGCCCCTTCCACGGTGACCTCACTCAGATACCCTATCATCCCACGCCCCTCACCCCACCCTGCCGTTCTCTTCCAACTCCCAGACCACTGTCTCAGCGTCTCCCACGAAGTGCCCATCTCCCTGCCTGGGCAGCTCTGCCCCGGACCTGTGCCCACGCACCGGGGGCTGGTTGACAAGGTATCGGCACAGTTCCCCGATGTACTGGAACACTGTCACCCTGTGCTGCTGGCAGTCCTCCCAGAACTGGCCAGCCGAGAACTTGGACTTCAGCACCACTGTGGCCCCTGCCAGAAGTGGAGGAGGGGGAGGAAGGACGGTTAGGGTTAGGGCTTTGGGGGCGCCCTGGCCCCCTCCTTCCCAGACACTAGTCCTCAGTGCAGTGTGTAGTCCCTGGGAAGGCCCTGCTGGGACATTCAACAGCAGGCCCAACCTGGCCTTCTTCCTTTCCCACCTGTGCCTCAGGGAGGTCAGTGCCCTTTCTCTACTTCCTGTCCCCACACAGTCCGTGCTCTGTACCCTGCCCCCAAGTCCCAACCTTCTCCATTTGCTTCTTCCTGGGCTGACATCCACAGCCCTTCCCCACCCCGCCCTTGGAGTCTGGAGTTCTGTGAACGATATGGCCTCCCTAGCCAGTCTGTAGGTTGTGCAGGTGATGCTACTCCACTGTACCAGGAGCTCTTGGAGAGTAGGCCCCTGCCTCCTTCTTCCTCAATTCTCTACCCTGAAGGACTCAGGAAGCATCCCGAAGTGAGCATACCACTTAGGTACTTAATAAATGTTTGCTAGAAAAAACGTCTGCTGGAGGACCAAAGGTGGGGGGTTGGACTGGGGTGGGAGCTGGGGAGAGACTGACCAATGCCCAAGCAGCCCACAATGCCCAACAGGGAGCCGGACATGTGGTGCAGTGGGAGGGCAAGGTAGATCACATCCTCCTGGTGGGCTCCGCACAGCTGGTAGAACGCCTGGCACTGCAGAATCTTCAGATGACTGATCCTAGCAGCCTTGGGGAGGCCTGTGGGTGGTGGGGGGAGACCCGGGGAAGGGTCTGAGCTTCAGGCCCTGCCTCCCTCTGCCCCTGCTGGGTTTCCCAAAAAAGAGGCAGAGGCAAGGCTGAAGCTGCAAAGAAGGGAGGCCAAGCTGTCCTGGGAATGTGGGAAGTTCAGGGAGGTGGAGAAATGAGTATGATCCCCGGGACCAGGAACCAGCGTGGAGGGGCGGGGAGGGTTTGGAGGAGTGGCCTGGAAACTGAGGCCATAGTTCCTGTCCCCAGCCCCTTCCTTGCCTTCCTCTGCCTAGTTTCTGGGAGGTAAGGCCAGTGCTCACCCGTGGTGCCAGAAGTGAAGATGTACAGGCACGTGTCCATTATGCTCTGGGGGGCAGAGAGGTACCCCGGCACTGGCTCATCCACTTCAGCGGAGGCCTCAGCCAGCAAATCGCTGATTCCAGCAGGATGGGTTTCAGGGCCTGCAGCCCAAAGACGGAGCCCCATGGCTCTCAGGGCTGGCAGGTCAGGCTCCAGAGACTCCAAGAACTCTGGATGAGGTGGGAGGGCATAGCTTGGCGACCCAGAATTCTTCTCCACCCCACAGCCTATTTGCAGCCCCCCTCGCCCCTCCCCACCACTTCACTGCTCTTGGGCGAGAAGAGTATGAACATCCCATTACCGTTCTGGGAACCAAAGACCCAGCTCCATCCCTTCGCAAACCCGAAGACTCAAATCCCCAAGCACCCTTTCCGAACCCCCTCGAGGAGGCTCCGCCTCCTTCCCCCTCCCCGTCCCCCACCGACGCGCCCCTTTCCGAGGCCGGTCCCGCCCCCGCTGGCCGTGCGCTCCGGCCTTACCTGGCGCCAGCACCAGCGCGCGCGCGCCGCAGCTGCGGAGGCAGTGCAGGAGGGGACCCCGGCGCAGGGCGGCCGGCACAAAGGCTGTGCGCAGGCCGGCCTTGGCTAGCCCGAACCAGAGCCACAGGAACTCTGGGCAGGCGGGGAGGAGCAGCGCCACGGTGGCCCCGGGTGCGAGAGGGGCCGCGGCGCCGGCAACTCCCGCGGCCCGCTCGTCCTCTGCGCCGCCGCCGAGCCCCGCGTCCCAGCCCCGGGCGCGCAGGAAAGCGCGCGCAGCCCGGTTGCTCTCGCGCTCGGCCTCCGCGTAGCTGAAGCGTCGCGCACCGTGAATGAGGAAGATGTGTGCTGGGCGCTGCCGGGCCAGTTGCGCGAGGCGCCAGGCCAGGCTGCAGCCCCCCTCGGGGCCCCTCGGGTCGGCGGCGGCCGCGGCCAGGGCGCGCGCTCGAAGAGCCCGTTTGCAGCGTAGGGCGCGCACCGCGAAGGCCAAGTCCGCCGCGAGCCAGCGCAGCCGGGGCCAGATGTGCAGCTTCCGCAGCAGCAGGAGTGGCAGCAGCAACAGGGACAGCAGCAGGAGGGCGGCCATGGTGCCCTCGTCCCTGGCTCGGCCCAGAGGCTCCCTTCCGATAACGGGCCGCTCGCTTTTGCTCGGAGACCTCTCCCTCCTGGGAGCGCGCGTGCGCCGGCACACGCCCCTTCCCACCCAGCTCCCCCCTCCCCCCCTCCCGGTTCTCCACGGGCTGGGAGCCGAGGCCGGGAGTGCGTGGGGGGCGGCCCCGCGCTCTGCGCCCTCCCTACAGCCGCGCTCCGCCCTGTGCGCGCTCCCTCCCAGACAACCGGCGGCCCACACCCTCCCAGGTCCCGGTTCAGGTTTTCTCCCCAAGGGCGATTCTGGCATCTGGCTGAACTGTGGCGTCCCGGCCTGAGGATGCCATTGCTCTCCCCCAAAACTGGCCGGAGAACCCGGCCCCTTGCCCGTTTGGCGCTGCAAGACCCGGTCCGATTGCCAGACCCGTGCCCTCCCCCAGCGCCAGCAGCAGCCCCAGGGGATGGGCGGGGGCCCAGCCAGCCAGAGTTCTGGAGGGGCGACTGCGGAGGCCCCTCCTTCCGGGCAAGGGCACAATAATTGGGGCCAGCCAGCGAATGCTTTCCATCCTGGTTTTAATTGGGGCAGAGGGAACGGGAAGGGGGAGAGGAAGAGGCCTCCCGCAACTAAGGTTTTTAAAGGAAGGAATAACAGCTTTGAGGAAGGGGGACACTGGATTCTGCAGGAGCCCTCGTCCTCCACCAAGACCTCACTCCTCTCTCTTCCGTTGGCCACCCAGCCTCCTGGGCAGCCTAGGGGATTCTTTTCTGCTGGGACGCAGGAGATGGCAAGTGGCCAGACGGTGGAACAAAGACGGTTGGTTCCTTCTTGCTGGCATCTGAACTCTCCCCACCAGGCCCACTTCTGTCCATCAGAATCTGAGTTGGGGGCATCCTTCACCCCCAAGCCATCCACCAATAGTTGGTAAGCACACAGATCTACTAAGACTCACTTTTGGAAGCCTCTAGTTTCTTGACAGAGAAGTAGGGTTCAACTTAACGGGAGATGGTGCCTGGACAGGTCAGTGCCTGGCCCACAGCCCCAGTGGCAGCAGGAAGTCTGGGCAGGAGGGGGGCGGCAAAAAGCCCCTCCTGCTCCAGACAAGGGGGTGTTCGGGAAGGGAAAAGGGGAAGTTCTGAGGCCACCAGGGGAGGGGGGGGGGGGGCAACCAGTTAGGTGCACAGGGTAAGAGCACCTGGGCCAGCAACTCCAGCACAAAAGAGGTTCTGGCTTGTTTTATTGTCATTTAAAAACTTTTAAAACGCGATTATCTCTGCCAAAACAAAAAAAACCCCAAAAAGACAGAACTGAGGAAATGGGACCATTTGACAGTTCTGTGGAAGTCTCTCTCTGGGAGTCCCAAGGGCTCTGGCCTCCCTCTCTGCCCTGGGTCCCTGCCTGAACTCTTACGGCATCTGCCCCACGTGGAGGAACAGGCAGGCAGCTGGGCCACATCACTGATGAAATGCCCATTTCACACGGGAGGATGGAGAGCAACTATAAAATGCCTGTTAGGAGCAAATCAAGGCCGGATGGGGAACATGTGGAAGGGGCATCCATACACTGTCTTCACTCCCATCCTGGCCTCTCTGACCAGCAAGCCCCATCTGCCATTTCTCTTCTCTTTGGGAGGCTGGGGAGGGGCAGGGGCTGAGGACCTGCACCAGCCCAGATTTCACACAGCCTCTGACTTCAGTGGGACCCAAGTCGGTGGGAGCAGCAGTGTGATGGGGCTGGAGGCGCCTGGACAGCAGGGAGCAGGGGCTGGGGCTGCATGGCAGCTTCTCAGGCTGAGCCAAAGGAAGCAGCTCATCCTTCCCACCAGGCGAGCCTTGAGCAGAGGGAGAGGGTGTCTCCCCACTATCTCCCCAGCCCTTATTAACCTCTGATTCACCAAGGAGGGGAGGGCAGTCCAACTGGGGGTGGGATGGAGGAACACGGGGGGCCTCAGTCACTGTCAGACCCCACTGCAGAGGACCCTTTCCGTTTCCGCTTGGTAGGCTTCGGTTTTGTGTCTTCTTCCTCCTGGAAGAGATGGGGGGGGGGCGGTCATTAGCCTGAGCAGCTGCTAGTCCCAGCCCCACCCGCTCCCACTGTTCCTGCTGCTGAGCACAGAGGTGAGGGCTCTCACCGAGGCACTGCTGGAGCCTGACTCTTCCTCAGCATTGGGGGGCTGTGTGGCATTCTTTCGACTGCGGGGGCTGGACAGAGCTGCTTTTCTCCGGCTCTTGGGCGGCTTGGTGGATGAGTCCTCATATTCCTCAGCCAGGGAGAAGAGATCGCTGAACCTGAGGGAAAGAACACACCCTCAGCACATTCCTCCCAGCCTCTTCTCTGTCCTGGGCAGGACCCCTCCCACTGCTTCCCAAGGCCTTACTTCATCTTGTGGGCCTCGTCACAGCTTGCCTGCACGTGCTGCAGAGCCTGGAGAATTGGGGTCTGGCTAAAAACTAGAGGGAGGAGGGAGAGCAGGGAAGGAAGGACAGTGAGCGGTCCAGAAACTCACTCAACTCTCCTGCCCCTGCCCCCACCCACTCTAGGGCTGGTCTGAGCCAGGGTCTGCAACGCATACAGTTCTGCTTGGTGTTGGTCAGGTTGAGGCGCAGGTTGTCCAAGTGCTCCAGGATCTGCTCCAGAGTCAGCTGGGCCAGCTTGCTGCTGGAGCTCCTCAGGCTGCAGGGAAGTCACACAGCCAGAGTCTGAGCTTGAGGGGAGGGCTCCAGGAGTGTGGGACACCCTCCCCACCAGGGCCCCTCCTGAAGACAGACGCAGCCCATATGGGGAAGGATGGGGTGGAACAGGGACCAGCCACGAGGCACTAGGGAAAGAGGGGGAGGGGCCAGAGTGGGCCCGTACACCATGTAGCTTCAAGACCACTAGGTGTCACCCACTAACCAGGAAGGAATTGCCCTGGTGATGGCCTGTGGACCGTGGGCAGCCCTCCACAGGTCCCACGTCCCCCCTCCGCCTCTTGCTCCCACCTCTGCCTCTTGCGCGGGAGGCTGTTGTTCTTGATGAGCAGGGACTTGATGTGCTCGGCCAGCAGCTCGTCATGCTTCATGCACCAGTGCCGCAGGATGCTGGTGGTGAACTGGTCGTCAGGGTGGCAGGGCCTGCTCAACACCATCTTCACCATCTCCTCGCTGGGCCTGGGGGTGTGAGAGGAGTGGAAGACACCCTGCTCACACAGCTGGCCTCAGGATCCCCTGGTCTCTCCCACCTGACTCCCCAAACCTTAGCCCCCTACCCCCAACCACGTTGCTGCAGCTTCCTGCTCTCACACCCTCTCCCTCTCCTCTCTGGGCCAAGGAATGCTGGTTTCATCCTTTGCCGAAGCCAGGAGACACAAGTGATTCTTCAGTTTCTGCAGTAGTAGCTGGTATGTATGGGGGGGGGGGAGAGCTCACCAAATCTCTCCCACCTTGCCCAGAATAGTCAGGAAATGGGCCCGGGAGGCAAAAGAGAAGGCGCAGGGGAGGGGGCTGGCAAGCCACAGCCCTCAACCTGCCCACTTCCTTTAGGATGTTCTGTACCACTTCTAGTCTTGGGCAAGAGAGCAGAAAAGGTGGAAGGCAAGAAGGTAGAAAGAAAAAATACACAGCTATTGTCCTACTTATCTGGGCTGTTGGGAAGGTGCCTGTGCTGGAGGGTGGAGGGGCCTCTGCTGGCTCCCCCTCCAGGCCCCACCCCTGTACTCTTGACCCAGCCTCCTCTAGGATCAGCCTAAGGTGGCCTCAGCAGAGTAGGGGTGGGGAGCAGGAAACCGGGATGTCCGGTCCCCACCCCCTACCCCCTCCTCCCAGGGCAGCTCCTGGTGGGCAGGGGCGTCAAGTAGAGAGGAAGCCCAGATCCCAGGGGAGCTGCATGTTTGTAAATCATTTTAGGGGAAGGGCAGAATATGTAGATGTCTACAGTAGGAAAAAGCATGGCCTCCTGAAGGAGCAGCCAGGAACCCTTTACAGGATGCTCTCTCTCGGTATGCTGCGACTGGGAGCTCGAGTCCCCGGAAGTAGAACTCACTTCTCTCTTCGCAGCTGAAGCAGCAGGCAAGACAGGGCCTCTGGGTGCTCTGTGGGGGAGGGCAGAGGCTGCTCAGAGGGTTGTAGACTTCCAGGAAGAATCTTGGTACCTCTCCCATCCCCCAGTTAATAGCCACTCGAAGCAGCAAGGACAGTCTTCCCCAAGGAGTCAGGAAGAACAATCCCTTGCTTCTAGAAAATCCCGAGCGGCCTGAGCCCCAGCTCGTGCCTGGCTCAGAATGGGCCTGCCTGTAGGACTCATCTGAAGAGCCTAAGTGACTGACCAGGGAGCCTGGCCTTCCGGACTTCGCTGGGAGGGGCAGCAGTGGGTCTGATCATCCAGAAGCCTAGGGGCCTCAGCCTTGCCCCAGAGGGCCTGGGACGGTCCTTCCCTCAATTCTCCCTGCCCACAGCCCTACTCACCTTTGTATTTGAGGTGCTGCAGGATGGGGATTATGGTCTCCAGGGGGATGTTGTGAGCCAGGAAGAGCTGCCAGGCACAGTACTGCTCAAAGGTCTCCCAGTCTAGGCTCTGGACTGCAGGGGACAGAGAAGGGGCATGTTCGCGCTTGCTCTCTCTCTCTCCTTCACACACACACAGGGCTAATTCACTAACAGCATCCCAAGCAGGGGTGATACACAGGTGAGGACAGTGACCCCAATACTACAGATACTCTCCCTTTCCACACAAACCATTATTTTCAAAAACTTCACTCCTATCGTCCCACCAGCCCTGAGCTTAAGCAGATCCAGAAACACTGCCCAAGACCACAGAGCAGGGCAGAGTGACGGTCTACCCCATTCTCAGCCCGAGCCAGCTATGCTGTTACTAGAAAACATCCAGGGCTGCCACACGTCTCTTCCCCCCGGGGTGCCTGCAGGGTCTGTTCACTTACTGAGTATGTTGAGGACAGAGTCCTTTCGAAACATAACCAGGTTCCCCATCATCACGTGGCAAACCAGCTCCTGGAGCTGAGGAGAAGGAAGAAGGCAAGACCCATTGGTTCTAAAAGAAGCCAGGAAGCCAGTATGGAAAGAGAAGCAGGAGGGCTCACATGGGGGAAAAAACCA